AATTTATTAATGATCGTCACCAATAGCTTAGGAACAAGGTTTCCACTCATTGACTGCGCTTCAATTGTGGTTGTGTAAAGTGTAAGTAAAAAATCACAACTGCAGTGGGTGATTGTAACAGAGGTTTACGGATGATGCTAAACTCGCTTTTCCAATGTGTCACTTTCTGTTCCTACCATTGGCTATATATATAGTCAATAGTTCCTACTCACCGTGTGATGCAATCGCTGGACCATACAGCCAACAGGCCCATATCCCATCTCTTGGGTACGTACGCCTACCCAATTATTCATAACAACCTTTTCGACGAGGATAATTTTTCTCTAAAATTACAAACGTCCAAAACCCCAATGTTGTGTGATTTTTGTCACAATTCCTTCTAATGTTAATAGATATACCAATCATTGTTTAGGGAATTCGTAATATATTAAATATCAAAATGTTGTTTGTATAAGTTTGTTTTATTTTAAACTGACACTGATAAGTTTGCATTAAAGTTGTTTACAATTAAAGCAATTTATGGGAAATAACTTTGATTGCCGATAACTTTTTACGAGAAAATCCAAAACCAAGAGATCAATAACCTCGGGACTTGATTAACGCATATAATTGGTCGGATGTACTATAATTCTTAACTGTAAACGTTGGTTTTTGGTACTGGTTCTTTTCCTTAGAACCGTTGGTAGCAGCAAGAATCATTTTTACATTAGTTATTGTTGGTGTTGCACCTTATTTATTACAGGCGAATTCAATTTAATTGATGTCTTAACTGTATAAGTTTTGCTTTTTCTGTCTGGATTCAAAAATTTTAGTAAAAAATTTATTCAGCAAACCATCATGATTTGTTTAAACGCTTTACGTTGTTTATGTATCAATAGTTCGTGGTAATTTCAGTAATTTTATTATAAATTACCAATCTTAATCGTCTGTGCTTCATTTCACATAGTAAGCCGTAATTTTTATAGCATTTCGGGTCATCTTCGGTCCAAGCAAATATAAATTGCTATGATTAAATTTGATGACATTAACAAAGATTTCAAATACTAAATTGTATGTACTTTGTTATCCTTAGAGCGTAGCAAATTCCCTAATTAAGTTCTGTATTTTTGTGTATGTCTGTTGGTAACGCATTAATGTCCTTATTTCTCAGTGTTTCACGGAAAGGACAAGAGCACCTTGATAGTGAAAATGTCAACCCAAATAAAGTGTTGAATTGTGAGGTTAAGGTAGTACCTTAAATACTTTTTAACTATTGTGGAAAGTAACTTTCAATTATAGGCCTACCTTAGGGCTATGCCTCATAGATCTATAAAGCATTTTTTTAGGTTAATCATTGGGTTTAACATATGGACCAACACGATCCGGGTGAAATTTAATTGTGAAGCATTGGTTTTGCCTTGAAACTGTCAGATACTGTATTTGCGAAGGTATATATATAGGCCTAATATCTGTTTTGCCAGCATATCTGAAAATATGCCAACCAAATGCTGTTCTTCATATAAGAATGTTTCAACTGACTATGATAAGATCCCCGTGCGTAGAACGGGCACACAGCTAATATATATATACTAGCTGTGTACCCGTTCTACGCACGGGGATCTTATAATATTCAGTTGAAACCTTCTTATATAACGAACAGCAGTTGGTTTGCATATTTTAAGATATGCTGGCCAAACTATTATACATAGCTTCATTTTATGTTGTTTTTTGTTGTTCCGGATCGGTATGACAATCAATAAAAGGTTAAATTACCTCTGTGTCTGCCGGTCGATCCTATAACGGTAGGCTTACTTTTATTTTTACTATCTGATCTCGTTTGCATGGCTCAATCACGTCCTGGTTGAAGTTCGTTCGCTACGCTCACTCACCTGTATGTTGGAGCTCGTTCGCTGCGCTCACTTTCCTTCAGGTTAGCTCGTTCGCTACGCTCACTTGCCTTCAGGTTAGCTCGTTCGCTACGCTCACTCGCCTCCAGGTTGCAAATTAGCTGTTGTCATAAATGTAAAAGAAATAATAGTGCTAGTGCTGCACCCTGTTGGTAATCCTTGTAACTTTAATGCTATTGAACATCACAGAACAGAACCAACTTGTTTAATTGAAACAGCTGTTAAGATTCAATAATTTCATTTCTCATAAGGTTAACATGGGCTTCCAGAAATTCCACGTCAAAAATCGACAAAAACTTGATTTTCAAGGGTTTACTGTTAAATATCTAACTGTCTCATATTCGATGAAATACGTCTAAAACCATCTCATATATGTATAGTATTTGGAAAATAAGTTTCAGGCGGGACAGTGCTATAGTTATTGAGGAGTAGTTGTAATAAAGTGCGTATTTTAGCGTTACCAAGAGAATGACAGATAGACAGACAGACAGACAGACAGACAGACAGACAGAAATTGAGATAAGGTTTGATTCGGTTTCTCTGACCTATGAAATGTAAAAATAACCAAAAAGTTCATTATTCTAAGCAATGTACAGACAAAACTCTAATTTTATTTATATAGATATATATATATATATATCTATATATATATATATATACATTATTGAAAACTTAAGTACCCTTTGAAAACTCATTTGAAAAGGGTACTTAGTTTTTAATAATGTATTTATATATCAACATAAGAGCTCTAATCACCGTAATATCCATAATATATATACATATATAACATTTTGAACGGATGGTGTTTTTGGCCTCTAGGCACATCAAAATGAAAAAGTAAGGCCTCTTTTATGCACGGCGTTTTCCGTCGGGCGGAATCTATTAGAATCTATCGGGCTTTCCGTCGGTGAGTGTTTTAACATGGGATCAAATGGGACCCTTTTATGCACGACGGAATCTCCGTCGTGTTTCAGAATTCCGTCGGAGGCCTTAGACTCCGCCGAGTTTCGGCGTTTCGTGGAGCGTGTTTTTACATAGGTTCAAATGGAACCCTTTTATGCAACTGCATTTTCCGTCGGGCGGAATGTAGTGCTGCCAACCTACCCCACGCTCTGTCATCTACAGTATTGAAATCACCTACGGTAATCATTGTAAATAGAATATCATTATTCATTGTAATTGATTGAAGAGTACAAATAAAGTGATGTAATTAGGGAAAAAATTACTGCATGAGAATTAATTACATTTTTGTTTAAATCCGCGGAATAATACAAACTTACTGTTTCGTAGGAACTTCTCAAACTTTTCCCCATCATTTCGCAGCAACCCATATAGGTTTGTGAAAGCCCCATCCACCCTACGACTGTCATTAACCGGGTGTACAGCCCATCTCCTTCGCCGTCGTCTATTTCTCTTCATGTACAAATAAGTATACTGTACACTAGGGATGGACGAGATTGGATTTTTAGTTCGAGACGAGACGAGACGAGATTTTTTATTTCTCATAAAATTTTGAGACGAGATCGAGACGAGATTTCTCTTCTCATACACAACGGGAAATGCACATTCGAAATTTTTACCTGATTTTGTAACATTGTTAGATGACTGTTTAAATACTAAAATAATGATAATAGGCAAGAATATTTACAATCTTTTATTAAATAACATCAGCATAACATTTTTTTATTAATCACGCCTAACATATTAAAAATGCCTACAATTAGGAAACATGGTGATATCAGTTAGGATAGATTTCAACTTATCCTAAAATAAAATAAATCATAAAATAAAAGCAATATTAATTTTTATAAAATAGTTACTTGTTTTGACTTTTTTATAGTAATAAAACATTCCTCACACTGCTTACACTTAACAAAACTTCTCAAATGTTATTAAAGTAATATTATTAAAATAATGAAAGTAATATTTACATTAAAAGAATTAAAGTAATATTTACATTAAAAGAATTAATTAAATAAGAACGCCTTCGAAAAGGAAACGCAACTACAACACGCTCCTGTATTGCGGGTATTGCATTGACTTTCTGCAGGCGTTTTTTTTTTTTTTTTTTTTTATTCTCGTCTCGATAAAAATCTCGGCCAAAAAGTAATCTCGTCTCGTGTAACGAGATTGAAAATTTCCCGAAAATTTCCCGAAATTTCGAGACTTGACCATCCCTACTGTACACCAATACACAAGGATCCATCTTGGGTCACTGACGATGGCAAAATGAACGAAGCTGGTAGCACTGACCACCCCCACCACGGGCATCAGCGGATTCCGCTCGGCGGAGAAACTGCATAAAAGGAACATCGATTTCGCCCGACGATTTCGCCCGACCGAAAACGCCGTGCATAAAAGAGGCCTAAATCGGCCACGGACCTAGGTCTTTACTTTACCACCTACGATAATTGCTACTTCCCCTTAGGGAAATTCAGTAAAAATGGTATCGGTATCGAGAATTGGTTTTTTAGGCATCGGTACCGGGGATCGATAAATTTTTGGTATCGACACATCACTAAAAAAAAACTAGACACCCTGGATATAGTTGCACGGCTTCAATTTAATGCAATTTTTATTGGTTCGGTTTTTGTTTGATCACTTATTAGTTTTTTGTTATCAATTCTCCTTTTTTATTTTCTCTTTTAAATTGATAAAATATTTGAAGGATAAAAACCCACTTATATTTTTAGCCTTAGCCATACTAATGATAATTTTCGATGTGTTAAGTTTATTTTTGGTGGTGGTAGTTTTTTTTTTTTTTTTTTTTTTTTTTTTTGCAGGGACTATTGCTAGAACCCCTTCTCACTATAAACTTATGATACAAGTGTATTAGTTTATACATTTTAAAACTAACAACCCCCTTTAGGAATAACCCTGCATAGGCTAGGTTTGCCTGTACATAAGCTTTATGAATTGATACGTTTTTTAGGAGATTAGGGTTCCTTTCTTTCATTCTCAAAATATTATTATCTTCACCCATGATCACGGCAAAATTATTGCATAACCACCAGTAAACTAAAACCGACAACCTACTTTAAAAACCAACCCATCCCAGATTCTAATTATTAGGCCTACCTAAATAATTTTAATTACATATGCATATATTTACAGTGCGAGTCAGAAGATCAACCTGATGTTTGTGGACATACAGAAGATGACTGTGTTTGTACTGTAGACAAGCCTAATCCTAAGAATATTGACCGCCAGAAGGTATATGACACTTCTTCAATTTGTAACATTTTTACTCGTTTATGTTTCAAAATATGTGAAAAATCTTTGAAAAATATCTTACCTGCTGTTGGGTAAAATGTGTATTATTTTAAGCAAAGTTCCCTCCTGGGACGTATCTTTTACTGTAGATCTGTAGATACTGTGGTAAGATTTATTTGCCATTGAACTGTTTTTTTTTAATTTTATGGTCCAAAATCAATTGTTTTACATACACAGGAAGTTTACTAAAAATATTTTAGAGTGCCATTCATAACTTGATTTTACCTACAAATAAAAAATAGTAAAGGAAATTTGTTTTAAATTTGTAGTTTAAAAAAAGACACATAGTTCCAATTTCCACTTTTAGGAAAACAAATTGTACGACTGTTGTTTTTTTAACTTAAGGCTGTTTTTGCGTATAGCTCCCTAGTTCATGTGTATACCGGTATGAGGCATCTCCCTGTTTAGTGACATCATTGGTGAAGAGAATTGCTCCAATTGTAGCACTGTAGCTGATGTGTACGCTTAGCTGTGTGTCTGTCTAGTAAATGTTTTAAATTATTAAGTCTTCCCCCGCATGTGAGATAAGGTCTTTAGTAAGTAAGGTAATCTTGACATATTTTTAAAACTGTCCTTGACATATTTTATGTTATGGTCATTATGAATCCAAACAGAATGGTACAACCCAAATTGCTGTAAAATATACAGTTCACAATCGTCGGTATGACTCCGCGGTCACGACACGTTCATCAGCATGACTCCGCGGTCACGGGGTGACCGTCGGTATGACTCGCGGTCACGGCGTGATCGTCGGTATGACTCCGCGGTCATGGCGCGATCGTCGTTATGACTCCGCGGTCACGGCACGATCATCGTTATGACTCCGCGGTCATGGGGTGCTCGTCGGTATGACTCGCAATTACGGCATGATCGTCGGTATGACTCCGCGGTCACGGGGGGATCGTTGGTATGACTTGCGGTCATGGCATGATAGTCGGTATGACTCGCGATAACGGCATGATCGTCAGTATGACTCCGCGGTCACGGGACGATCGTTGGTATGACTCCACGGTCTCGGCGGGAACATCGGTAGGACTCCGCGGTCACGGCGCAATCTTCGAATTGACTTCGCCTCCTGCGTTCGCGGAACATCTCTCGCGATAGCGGCGTTATTGTCACTCGCGAAGCGGCAAAATCGCCGACGATCGCACTAAATCCCGGCCCTAAAAATTCCCGAACCAAATGTTATCCCGTCTCGAATATCGGGAATATTTTTTTCCCGAAAATTTCCCGAAATTTCGGGACCCGTCCATCCCTATTAAGTACTGGTTAGTGCTAAATTTTATAATTAAATTTGTGTTTTCCAAACAAAATATTTTATTTAAGTTACACTAAACTCCCAATGGACCGTACTTGCATTATCCGCGTTGCGGCTTAACAGGGTTACATTAAAGGAAATTCTAATAAAATGCAGACAGACAGTCATAATTAGCAACACGAGTCAATGTTTTTAAACTGTAAGTCATTGTTTTTTAAACTGCAGGGTCTTTTTCTCAGAAAGAAGTGCAGCAGGATGTAAAAAACTGTATATCACTGTCTCCAGCAGGCCTTCGGGTGTCAATGACCCTCCCCTCTTATACCTCCCATTTGCAATGCAATACTCCTATTGCAGACAAAATTGTGTAACGAAACAAGAAATTAGAGTAAAAAAAAGATATTTCTCTGTTCAAAAACAGAAAACTGCCACAGATTATTTTCAAGGAAATTAATTCACGGTAGTTTGTCTTGTAAATTATATTTTATTTGATCTTAAAGACTACATCTTCTTTGTATTTACGTTTGTCATTGGGTTCAAATACTTGTCATTGTAAATTCCTGTCAAATACAACATTCAGTTATGTTTTAATGTAATATAATTATGTTAGGTACCTTAATTTAATACTGTCTTTTATTTTAATGCCAATTCCTATTCAATAGTATTTTGCGGATTATCCACGATTTTACGTATCTGGTAAGCCTCAACCCTACTTTATCCCGGTTTATCAGTAGGCCTACCTAGTTGAGTGTATAGCTTAAACCTTTATTCCAAAAGTATATTGTTTCATAGATGATTTTTTTCAGCTGCAAGTTCTGGATCGGAAGATGAAAGGATCACCGACTTGTTCATGTGCAGATTGTGTAAAAAACAAAAAAAGTGCAGTGAAAGTGACTAATAGTGTAACAAAGAGTAAATCAAAATGTGCTGGGCAAGCAGAGAACCTAGAATTCCCAGCGATAGTCAGCACAGAGAAAAACAAAAACTTAAACTCATTAAGTCCATGTGAATCTTGTGTAAATGCCCAGGTATGTTATCTATCTCTCTAATAAGTTTTCTTAAAGTTTAAGTTTGTGAGGAATCAACTCACAGGGTGTCCACATTCTGGAAAGTCAGGGATAGTCATGGAAAGTCATGGAAAAAAATTATGGTCATTGAAAGTCATGGAAATAGGCAAAAAGTCATGGAAATCCCCAATGATGGATGGATTTCAGGGGACCTTTCAATGCTCTAGTCGGCCGTGACCGCGACTATTGTAGCATTTTTCCGAATTTTTAACAAATGTACGACAATTTCAATCTATACAGTTGTCTTAGTTTGGGTTTTGAGTTTTTATTAGATCATTGTTGTACCTATTGTACTCCATTGTTATCTGTTAATACATATTTCAATATTTTCTGTGAAATAACTTGTCTAGGCAGTATTATTCGTGTGTGTACGGTATATTTTCATTTTTGAGTTTAGTTCGTGAGTCATGGAAATCAATGGTTAATGGTCATGGAAAGTCAGGGAAATTGATGACAAAATTTCTGTGGACACCCTGACTCACATCCAAGTTGCTTAATAGAAATCCACGGAAAGTAAATAACCTATCATTTGGCAAGGTTCCTAGACCTTCAAGTCCACTGGACTTTTTTGTGTGGCTATGTGGATTACATGGTCTACTCATCTTCAGTGAACGATAATCAGGAAATTCACAACCAGATAATAAATGCAGATGTACTAGTCAGAGGAACGTTGTATTTTAAAGTTACTGTTGACGCCACGTGCTAAAAAACTTGGCTGTGTATCAGGGAAAACGGAGGACATTTTGAAAAAAAAATGTAATTGGTATCAAGAAGTAGAAGACAGCTATTCAAACTTGTTTAGTACTGTGTGTTAATAAACTTTAACACTTTAACTTAAAAGTATTTCTGGGGGGTTAACAATTAATTTAGTAATGAAAGATCATTTGGCTGAGTTATTTTCCATTAGCATTTGTTTAAGCACTACAATCAATTATCTACCCTGTGAGGTTATATTATCCAATAATAAGAAGTTTAACACATGCAATTTTTTTGGGAACGGGGGTTTATGGGGTAAAAATAGGTTTTTTTCATTTTTGACCTTAAAAACACCAAATTTTACTATTTCTTTTCAAACCATTTTGTAGAGCTAAAAAAAACAAATAACTTAGTATATTGAAGCATCATTGTGCGCCTAATGGTTACGGAGAAAATTCTAAAAAATTGTAAATTTAAAATTCCTATGTTATTCTTATGGAGAATATGTCAACTGTTGTAATTTGCTTGTTAATGAACATATTTTGATCGAATTTGGAAAATACATTCATTTTTTACTAAACTGTTTATATGTTTTACAACAAAAAACACTTTTTTACCCTCCCTGTTATAGCAAACCTAAGTACTCGTTAAACTAATTCTATTTAAATAATTTATAATTTTAAAAAAAACTGTTCAATCAAAACGTTTTTTAACGCACTAAAAAGTAGAAAATAATTTATAAATATGTGGAGAGTATACTTGTAAGCTTTAAATCGAAAAACGTATTTACAAATACCTTCACCTATTGAACTAATATATTATTATCAATTGCATGCACCCCACGTTTTTCGTTTTAAATCTTACAAGTATTTATTCTCTCCACATATTTATAAATTATTTTCTACTTTTTAGTTTATAATGTGTGTGGATCTATTTCAAAGCATCTATATCAGATTAAGTCAGAGGCATGTGGGAAATCTAAGGTTTATTTGAGTTTCTTTCTTTTCATATAATTATGTATTAGATTTAATGTATGGCCTACCTACTAACTATAAATATATCAATCGATTTTAATTTATTGTTTACTTTATAGAATACTAAATAAATAACAATTGACAAACACCTTTATATCTGCAATCAGATTTTTTATCTTTATTTTGAAATGTTTGTTTGTATAAAGAATCTCTTGGGAGCATAACCTGTTCCTCTTACCAGGGTGTATACCAACCGGGAAAACCGGGAGAACCGGGAAATAACCTTGAATTTGAAGGGACCTGGAAAAAACCGGGAAAAAGCCGGGATTTTTGGACCGATTCCGGGATCTTTAATATAGCCCCGGTAGAAGATCGTAGTCGTAAAATGCGTCTTGCCGCGATTGCGGGCGACGACGATGACGTTTTCGTGACCGCGGGAGACGACGATGACGTTTCCGTGACCGCGGGAGACGACGATGACGTTTCCGTGACCGCGGGAGACGATGACGTTTCCGTGACCGCGGGAGACGACGATGACGTTTCCGTGACCGCGGGAGACGAAGATGACGTTTCCGTGACCGCGGGAGACGACGATGACGTTTCCGTGACCGCGGGAGACGACGATGACGTTTCCGTGACCGCGGGAGACGACGATGACGTTTCCGTGACCGCGGGAGACGACGATGACGTTTCCGTGACCGCGGGAGACGACGATGACGTTTACGTGACTGCGGGAGACGACGATGACGTTTCCGTGACCACGGGATCATCGATGATGTATACACTGCCGCGGGAAATATCCATGATTTTGCCGAAATCGCGGACGACGACGATGACGTTTCCTTGACCGCGGGCGACGACGATGATTATGTCTATACGGCCGCAGATGTTTATAATTTTGCCGAGATCGCGGACGACGGCAATGACGTTTCTATATCTGCGAGAGGCAATGATGATGTCTACACGGCCGCGGAAGGAAGATTTTCGTGATTTGCCGTGACCGCGAAAGACGACGATGATGATTTCTACACGGCCGCGTGATATGCTCATGATTTTGCCGTGATTGCGGCCGACGACGATGACGTTTCCGTGACCGCGGGAAACGACGATGACGTTTCCGTGACCGCGGGAGACGACGATGATGTAGACACGGCCGCGGGAAATATTCATGATTTTACCGAGATTGCGGACGATGACGATGACGTTTCCGTGACTGCGGGAGGCTATGATGATGTCTACACGGCCGCGGAAAATATTCGTGATTTGCCGTGACCGCGAAAGACGACGATGATTATGTCTACACGGCCGCAGATGTTCATGATTTAGCCGCGATCGCGGACGACGACGATGACGTTTACGTGACCGCGGGATCAACGATGATGTTTACACTGCCGCGGGAAATATTCATGATTTTGCCGAGATCGCGCACGACAACGATGACGTTCCCGTGACCGCGGGAGTCAATGATGATGTCCACACGGCCGCGGTGGATTTTCATGATTTTGCCGCGATTGTGGATGACGATGATTACGTTTCCGTGATTGCGAGAGACGGCGATAATGTATACATACCGCGGGATATGTCCAGGATTTTTCTATGATAACGTAAGACTGTGATGAGGTTTTCGTCACCGTGGGAAGCGACCACACGACCGCAGGAAATATTCAGGACTTTGCTGCCATTGATAATGTGTTCATAAAAAATGAAGATAATATTCGTGATTTTGCTGCTATCGAGAGAGACAATGTTTCCGTGGACTTAAGTAATGATGATAATGAAAATTATTACTATAATAAGGATTATTACTTTTTCAACACTAGCTCACTGGACTTTGAAACAAATTTGATGTAAGTTTATATTGTGTTCTTAAGCTGCAAGTCTTAAATTGATTATAGTTTAAGTGGAACCAAAGAAATACGCGGGAACCGGAAAAACTTCGAAAAACCATGAAAAAACCTGGAAAAAACCTGGAATTTCACTTTATAAAATAGTATACACCCTGTTAACCTCTGCTCTTCAAACTGTCAAATTTAAGTATTTACAGCTGACTTAAACTAATTGATATATTTACATTTTTTCAAAATGTAAACATGGAAAATTTGGAAGCCCATGGGGCGTAGTGTAGTCCAAGGGAAATACGAAAGTTAAATGATATAATATTGCACTGTCATTAGGGGTCTGCGGTACAGAAAATTTAAGGTCGGTACGGTTCGGTACGGTAAAATATTTTGTACCTCGGTTCTCGGTACAAAATCGGTACGGTACGTGGCTACCCGTATTTTTGTGGTTTTCTTCTTAGAACTGTATTTAAACCATTATTTTAAATTTTAATATATTGACATTACTATGAAAAAGGATAGTATCCTGCATTCATGGTTTTCTAACAACAATTACTGTACCACACATTATAACAAAAACCTGTTACTACTACCAGGATTGTGTCAGGAAAATCACAGTTAAGATAAAGGCTTTACCTATTTTACTCTGAGATACTTTGAATAGCCATGATAAAGTGGTTTTAAAATTAGGATAACAGTTTTTAGGAATAAACATGTTTGAAGCATTAATTGACAAGATAATATCACACAACTGGTAAATTATTTCCAACCAACACAATGTCTCGTTGTTTTTTAGATTTTTAAAAACATATAAAAGCATTCAGTACAAAGACAGTGTAGTTGCCAGCTGTTCACAGCAGACGACAATGAAAAACTGGAGGTTATGATGGAGTAATGGCAAAGAGCATCCTTTTTTATAAGCTTCAAAACTAACTATAAGATGGATACAACTCTTTCAAAGTTTTATTCTGAAACTAAAATTTGGATTATCACAGAGTAAGATTGTTGTCTTTTCATTTACAAAGTTAACACCCACACATATCAATAATTAGTTTATCTCAGGTTCAATCCAATTATCTTAGTATATTTTAAAGCTCTTCCAAAGAATCAAAAGACCCAGGCCTAGACCTAACTATTTATGAGGGCCTATATAAATTTATTAGGTTACAATGAGAGTAGCAAAATCACTATCATAATTCTAGTTCATAAGATTTAGATTGCATAAAGTACCTTCACACACAATGAAAAATACAGGAAACAAAAAGCATTTAAACCTTAACAGCCACATCCAACAATACAACACAACAAGACAACAACAACATGATACAACACAACACAACAAGATACAGAACATGCAATGACATAATTTGAGACTGAGTAGGCTTGCATAACGAAAAAAAAATTATGCAAATAACAACAACTATGCTTGTAGTTTAATCAATAGAAAGATAAAATATCCATAACAAATATTTTAGCTTATAAAATAAGATTGTATATTAGTTACAAGTTTAATATGTAGCCATAAACAGTTGTATGGCTGTAGACAATGGCCAGCGGCAAATTTAATATTCACGAAAATACTGACTGAGTTAGAGATAAAATTTAACAGTCATTATAAAACTATTATCTTTATGATAAAATAGAATTGGGGAAAGTCATAAAGGAATAAAAGTGATAAAACTCAACATTTATTGGAAGTACTTGAATACAACAATAATTATTGTCGTCATAAAATGTTAATGGATTTGGGACTGCTAATTGATAGTAAACTGAAAGTAATTTATTATTATAATAGGCTGTGTGTTAAATGCTGTACCGAACCGATGACGGTAATTAAGCTTGTACCGTACCGACTTTTTCAGTGCACCGCAGACCCCTAACTGTCGTCCATTTGTGAGCTATGTTTCAAATTTCAAGTCTCTAGCTCATCAGGAACTTTGTTTAAAATTGATATCAAAATTTGTAGGAAAGCGAGCTAATAAAAAGAAGCCCATGGGGCTTGGCCCAAGGGAAATATGAAAATTAAATGATATAATATTGCACTGTCTTCCATTTGTGAGCTATGTTTCAAGTTTCAAGTCTCTAGCTCATTGGGAAGTTAGTATAAAATTGATTGCAAAATTTGTACCGGACAAGAAAGCGAGCTAATAAAAACGTTTTAAAAAGAGAATAAATGTGATATTTTTAAGGAGGCATTTTAGTGTAAATCCAATCAGGCCTCTCAGATGGAAATTCGCTTAGTCTGCAGGTTTGCTGCGGCGGGAGTATTTTATATAGTGGAATTATTTTGGATTAGTGATTCTTCTTTAGTAAACAAACCAAACAATTTGCAATAATACATTAAAAAAACTGACTTTCCTTTCTTTTTCTGATTTGCCTAAGCATCCAAAAATGTATAACCATCCACTCTGAATTCTGTGGGGGGCCGGGGAAGTCCCATCTGGAGAAGGAAAATGAGATTCTGTTAGCAGAACTGTGGTAGTAGCTAACAGTATATCTTTTCCCTTGACTCCTTGAGTTTCACTAATGACAAAATGAAACCTAATAGACTAGTAGGATCTTGTTGGATCGTTGTCTAACCGGTTAAGCAATGCTTTCCAAAAATAACAGTTGTGAAAAAGGTTTGTCATTTAAGAGCCTTCAATCATGCACATTGCCTTAGCAAATTTGATGTTGTGACCCAATCATGAAAATAGTATAGAACTCTAACATTCCATTGCATCCAGTAGGTATAAACCATTATTGTTCTGTGACAGGAGCTGCTGGATGCACAGAAAGGTTGGTCGTCTAGTGATCACTCTCAAGACTACGGTTATTCTAGTGAGAACAACCTCGGCAGTACAGGACCTAGTGGGCCGAGCTCCCCTGAGGGCTCAGAGGTGGCCTGTTCTGATGGATTCTGTAATCACGATGGTACAGGTAATGTATAAGTAAAATATAAGTATTAGGAATTCTGTTTTTTATCCATGGAGGCATGCAGAATAAGCTTTATGTGACGTGCCTGGACCTAGAGTCTGCACCATCAATTAATTGGTAATTTGTTTTTATGTTAAGTGAGAAAGGGGAGGGAGCTCAGGGTGTCTACCAGTCGAGAATTCCGGGAAATTCGGGAAAAGACAGGGATTTTGAAAGGTCAGGAAAAGTTGTGAAAAAGTAATGAATTATGACCGAAGGTAGTGAATAATCTAACCCTTCAAAATTAAGGATAAACGGGCCGGGCCGAAGAGTATTTTAATAGGCCTTTAAAAAATGTTCTTTGTAACTAGTATTGTACATATCTGGGCACTTTTAAGACAAAATTCAATGTTTAAAAAGGTTATTAATACAATACAAAACAATAAATAATGTGCCTTGAATAATCTGAAACAACCCACAAATCAACCATGTTTTTTGTCAAAAAATCATATTCAAGCTTTTTAAAAAATGTCTATAGGACTAGAAAATTCATAATACATTCTTTCCCCCTTTGAATTAGACTTCTGGTGTAAAGAAAATGTTTAATATTTCATTAAAATCTACATAGGAAATGTAATTTTCATCTGCGATGAACTTCTAAAAATACCATTTTCTACCACGAATTTTGTTTTAAAGTACTACATTTATGTTAACTTTGAAAAATATACTATAAGTTTTTATTGTAATTATTGGTTTTTTACTGGTTTACAGTTAATCATAAGTACTGTAACTTATCGGCAAATATAAGGCGAAAATCGTAACGTTCGTCAGTTCAAAACTGCTTCAGGAGGCCTAGCTCAGCAGTACTTACAAGTTGATTCAAACTCATTGATGTTAATTTTTAACCTTAATTTGCAGAGTTTGTCGAGTGAATATTAAGAGTTAATTTACCTTTAGGGCTAATAAACGTAGCCTATGTGGGTTTTTAATTATTTACCAATATCTAGGGGTGGGCGAGTAGTGATTTTTCAATTCGAGTCGAGTATTTGAGTGAAAACACTATAAACTCGAGTATCGAGTCGAGTCTAGTAGTTACGCGTTAAGTAGGCCTAGACCCAGGGTTTAAGCTGCGGTAGCATTTTTAGCATCTTGCTATTCACAACTTAAAAATACTACATAACTTAGTTTTCCAGGCTAGGCCTATAGCAAATTTTATACAAATAAAATTGAAAATGTAACCTAATGTTCAAACATAGGCCTATGTAATACTAGCCTACTGGGATATTTGTTTTAAATGCTTACTCTATTGAATAATATTTTTCCTACAGTTAACTTAGTTGTCTGAGAGTTTGCAGCATTTTGCTGAAACAAATTTCATCCTAGCCAAATTTGACCCTGCCTAGGCCTAAATAGGTAGTTTAAGTATACAAAATTTTCGAAATTATATGGTTACTAATTATTAGTACCTGTTACCTTAGGCCTAGTAAAAAAATTGGCCTAGACTACTTGTTGGCTGCAGCATTAAATTTACACATCACTTGTTATTGTGTGTTTTATTTTTTCTTGCATTTTCTTCCTCCTCACTAACATGATAATCAACCTGGGTAACTAACTTTATAACGTAACTTTAAGCCTAATTATTTCAATTCAATTAAGAAACAGAATTTGTAAACATAAATTTATTTATAAAACAGAAAACTAATATCAAACTACATATTGTATCATATGTTAAAAACATCAATATGCAATAAGGTATTTTAAAATAATGACTTGGATAAGCACTTCATCTGCCTTAACCCTCCGAGCGTCACTCGTCGAAAAATTGACGCACGACACACTTTGTGTAGTGTCTCGCGTTGATTTTTCGACACACGAACATCGTTTACGGCGAAGGCTCTATGACTGACTGAATCGGATTGAACTGGATCGAGTTAGGTATCGTTCTTTTCGTTAGATTCTGAGCTTTCTCCAGAGGTCTGTCTCTAAGCGCTTTATGTTCTCCGAGCCGATCGTAATTGTAGAAATATTTATAGGCCTATAATTTATACAATTTCATTGAGCGCAAACTTATTTTTTTTTTTTTTTTCCAAAATATTTATTTTTACCTAAAAAAATTTTTTGAAACAAATGTTCCTTATGTTTTATGTATAATATTGAAGCCCATGATTTTCCAAACAAAATGGTATATAGAACAGTAGAATTAACATTGTTTTAAGCTTCTCAGATCCGTTTTAATAAAACTTTGCAAATGCGCCAAAAATAGCCGGACATTAAGGCCTAAACTATGGACACTCGGAGGGTTAAGTTTGAAGGTTATGGGTACTAGGGCTATCCATTTACATAAGAATAATCAAGTCACTCTCTCTGACAGACTGAAGATTAAACAAAAACGTAGTAGGCCTATTATTTTAAAATAAAATCCCACATTTTAAACACTTAATTTTAAAATGAAAACACATTTCATTTCTTTGTAGCCCGGTATAGCCTATTTGGCCTTTCTTTAATAAAATCACATCTTTCTAGGTTTAGTTACAATTCAAACTGTAGTTGTCATGTTTCTGCCACCAGATTCAAAATTGCACAATGAAAATCATAAACAGAATATTTTTATTTTACTTTCTATTAAACTTCCACCAAACAAAATTAATTTTATTAAATTCACTTCAAAGTTCTTCAAAGTAAAAACATTCTAAACTGACGTTGACATAACTTCACTCCAATCCATTGTTTTGTTTTGTTATTGTTGCTATGCGGTCGACATTCTATCCTCTCTCTCTCTCTCTAGTCAGTCTAGTCGGTCTGCTCTGCTCATTCTGCTTCTGCTTTGTTTTCCCATCAAACAGCTGTTTTGCAGGGCTGACGTTGCCATATTTATCATTACACTATTATGGTGAATGTCGGCAAAATTATTATAAAATTGCTATAGCTTTTAATTTGTAAAAAAAGTTAATAGTTTGACTAATTTAAATCATGTTTATGTAAACTCATTTGAGAATTAATTATACTTATAGTTTGTTTATGCCAATACCACTGTTAGTTGTAAAAGTACAAAAATAATCGTCCATCTGGCAACACTGAGTTTGAAGTGGAACTGATCTTCTCTTTCTGCCAAGACCCAATGAGATTGCGTCAGTCAGATGCATTGATGTTCCTTAAGTAACTTATCGGTTTGTAAAACTAAACACCGATTAAATTGAAAAAATATTATGCATAGGTAATTTTTATTTGTTGTATTTCTATATTTTGGTATAAAATATTTTGATGGCAGTTCAAACTAAATCTGATACTGTACTTTATAATATCTTCAATAATCGTCTGCCTATGTTATACTAGTCACGAGACTCCCTTGTTGACTATCGACTATTGTAGTTCGTTTATTTCGACTATTGTAGTTCGTTTATTTCGACTTACTGTATCCGTATCGTTATCGAAATGTATTGTTGACTGTTGTAGGAAAGTGAAAGTCTTAAGTAGTCCTCTTGCTAGCTCTGCCGACTGACGATGTTTGTTTGTTGAACATTTGGTTTACGCTGGTCTAACCTTTATGAATTTAGATTGTTGTTTTTTTGTAGGAATGGGGATTAAATAAGGCATCAACACAAAACAAGATATAATTTATTAAATTTGAGTGTAGAAAATTGTGAAGTGGCACTATTTATAACTACTCGACACGAATTTTCGAGTAGTAATTACTACTCGACTCGAGGTCGAGTAATTTGAAAAAACTCGAGTAATTACTCGAAGGTCGAGTACTCGCCCACCCCTACCAATATCTGTTTTTTTAATTTGTTTACACAACTTTTATTGGGCTTTTCTTATAATTAGCCTATATTAGTTGCCGGTAATTTTGTAAATATATTTTTTTAATAAAAAAAGTTAACATTTTTAAAATTTAAAAACTTTAATTTTTTTATTTAGGCCTAACTTTAAACACAGTTAGCTGTACCTCGTCAAAGTATTCTGCAGCGGCCGGGCGAGATAGACTTTTGTAGAGTATTTTAGTAAATATTTCACCAGTTTTGTTATTAACATTGTTCATTTTCATCTGGGTTCCAATCCCGTTAAATCACAAATGTATTTTAAGTGATAATGCTGCAACCACTAGGTCTAGCCTTAAGTAATGTGAAAAACAATCCCGGGCTCATGCCTAGCGTCCTAAGACAAAAAAATTATTTTTTTTTATTTTTAAAAAATAAAAATAAAACGTTTTATCCGAAATATTTGGTAATCCGAAATGGGTCCAGTCCCAACCATTTCGGACTAACGGGACTCTACTGTACTACTTTTACATGAGTAGAGAGAAAATTTGTATTTAAATAAGTTATTTAAGGGAAACAACCGAAAAACCGATAAAAAAAACGAACAGGAACCGAACCAATAAAATCAGCAACCTATTGCTGACCATTGCAGGTATCACTACCTGAAATATTATTATTCTTTTTCATGTTGTTTAGAAAATCCAGATATAAATAATAGCAATGTCAATTAGTAAAAAGCAGAATATCCCAACATATAAGCATATTTACTTAATCATCTTCCACGGTGTGTTCTTATTCAAAATTTCTTTTCTAGGTGAATGCAATTCTGAAGAAGGAGAGAAAATCAAACGTCTAAGGCATTCAATGCAAACACTCTCTTTACAGCAAATGCTTGAGGTAAATAATATGATAGTGAAGACTTAGTATAAGAATTTTTTAGTGATGGGCGGATCCAAGAAAATGTCGGTACCGGATCCGGATCCGAAGATAAACACTGTCATAAGTGCGGGTAAAAAAAACATAATTAACAGAATGCCAATTTAAATCATACTGTTTAAAATTAATTATACCGGCAGTAAACATTATTACCGGTTGAAGTGCATATTCCCATCTATCATTAATGTGGACCTGGAACTAAATTCGGCGGTAAACATAATTACCGGTTGAAGTGCATATGCCCGGCTATCATTACTGTGGACCTGGTACTAAATTCGGCGGTAAAAATTATTACCGGTTGAAGTGCTTATGCCCGCCTATTTATTACTGTGGACCTGGAACAAAATTCGGCGGTAAAAATTATTACCGGTGGAAGATGCATGTGCACGCCTATCATTACTGTGGACCAGGGAACAAAATTCGATGGTAAAAAATATTACCGGTGGAAGTGTATATGCCCAGCTATCATTACTGTGGACTTTGGAACTAAATTCGGTGGTAAAAATTATTACTGATTAAAGTGCATATTCCCGGCTATCAATACTATGGACCTGGAAATCAATTCGGCGGCAAACATTATTAACTTGTTCAAGTGCATATGCCCGGCTATCATTACTGTGGACCAGGAACTAAATTCGGCGGTAAAAATATTACCGGTGGAAGTGCATATGCCCAGCTGTCATAACTGTGGACCTGGAACTAAATTCGGCGGTAAAAATTATTACCGATGTAAGTGCGTATGCCCGGCTATTTATTACTGTGGACCTGGAACTAAATTCGGCGGTAAAAATTATTACCGGTGGAAGATGCATGTGAACGCCTATCATTACTGTGGACCTGGAACAAAATTCGGCGGTAAAAAATATTAAAGGTGGAAGTGCATATGCCCAGCTATCATTACTGTGGACTTGGAACTAAATTCGGTGGTAAAAATTATTACCGGTTGAAGTGCATATTCACGGCTATCATTACTGTGGACCTGGAACTAAATTCGGCGGTAAAAATATTACCGGTTGAAGTGCATATGCCCGGCTATCATTACTGTGAACCTGGTACTAAATTCGGCGGTAAAAATTATTACCGGTGTAAGTGCGTATGCCCAGCTATCATTACTAAACTAATACGAACTATAAATATAAATAGTTTATATTTATATTTAAATAGTCGAATTTATAACTATAAATTCAAACTATAAATATCATTACAAACTAAATTCGGCGGTAAAAATTATTACTGGTTGAAGTGCATATGCCCGGCTATTTATTACTGTGGACCTGGAACTAAATTCAACGGTAAAAATTATTACCGGTTGAAGTTCATATGCCCAGGTATTTATTACTGTGGACCTGGAACAAAATTCGGTGGTAAAAATTATTACCGGTTGAAGTGCATATGCCCGGCTATTTATTACTGTGGTGGACCTGGAACAAAATTGAAAAAAACTTCTATATACAGTACTGTGTGATAGTCCGGATTTTTCGTAATCCGGACCGGACGCCCGCCACTTTAGTCCGGATGAGCGTACATGGATAATGACAGCTTTGTGTTTGTAAAAAATCGGGAAGAAACTGGTCTTGTACATGGATACAAAAATACAGCTTTATGTTAGCAAAAAAATCGTATCCATCAAAACCGAATCCAGCTCAAGATCCGGAATTTTTGGATCCGATCCGGTGCCGGTTCCAGCTCGGATTTGGCGGATCCGGTTGTCCGATATCTGGATCCGACCATCACTAGAATTTTATATATTTCTTTTTCATACAAACCTTTGGCATTTTGTTTTTGTAATGAAAAAGCTCAAACTTGTTAAGTACCCTTTAATTTTCATTAGGGGTGGGCGAGTCCTGATTTTTCAATTCGGATCAAGTTGAGTATTTGAGTAAAAACTCGAGTAACGAGTCGAGTCGTGTAGTTGCGCATAAAGTAGGCGTAGGCCTAAATAGGTAAGTTAGTTTAAGTAAGTTATACACCAAATCTTCAAATTTAAATTATTAGTATTAGGCCTAATACTACACTAAAAAATTTGGCCTAGCCTACTTGTTGGCTGCAGCATTAAATTTACACTTGTTATTGTGTATTTTATTTATACTTACCTTTTCTCCCTCCTCACCAACATGATAATCAACCTAGGTAACTAATTACTTTAAGAATAATTTCAATCCAATAAAGAAACAAATTGTAAAAGAATTTTATTCATAAAATAGATAACTTAATACAGGGTGAGGCAATGAAAGCGCCCCAATTTATAAATAGTACAAATTAAATACTATTTACACTATACATATAAATAGCACATCAAAACAGCTCAGGAAAATTCGCGCAGGCGTCGCTTTGGTTGATTCGTGGACAGCTGAATTTAAACCCATATTTAGAAATGCGATATTTTCATCCCAACGCTTTTGTGTTTGCGAATGAAATATTTTTAAAGCTATTTTTAAATTACGATTGACTCTTTCTGACTGGTTTGAATTTGGCCTAAAAATTTGAAATGGCTAAAAAGTTAAAATCATCAAATATCCTGGGATCGGCTGAGACGAATCCCGAAATCCCGGGATTGGATTGAAAGCCCGGGATTGAGACCCCTAAGCCTATTCTAAAAAATTTAAATAAGATACCTATGGTACCGGAACCGAGAACCGATTTTTGCTAGGAACCAGCACCGGTACCGACTTTGAAAAAGTGGTACCGACCCATCACCAATTGTATTGACATTGTGTATTGTCTTTCATATCTTACTAGTTTGGTAATTTTACAACAAAATTTATAGAAGACCCTCTCTTACAATACAGGAGAGCGTTCTATTGCTTTGAATGTACTATCAATTGCAATGAATCAATGTTCAAAGATCTGCAATTTGTTTGCCGTTGACAATATATCAATGATTGACTAACTGCTGCTAAGGTAATTCAACTGTATTTAATATTGTCTAATTTAAAATTAAAGGAATGTTCAAGTTGTCGGGTCGCCGGAATTCTACCCCCGGATATTTACCCCCATGAAAAAACGCCTACGTCACTTTGACGTCACGAGGGGCGGGGCCTATTCCCGATCGAGAAACAGCCCGCGACTGGAAATCTACCCCCGGATATCTACCCCCAGACATCTACCCCCGGACATCTACCCCCGGACATCTACCCCCGGAAATCTACCCCCATGGTCAGCTACGCTACGTATCGGCCAAGATGCATTGGTGTAATTGATTTCATTAATTGGTTTATATAAGTCAACGGCTCTTCGGTTATTCATTAGCTTATTATGCGAATAATTTTTTTTTGTTGTAAAACGAAAACTCAAAAAATATTTTATTCTTCTTGGGCAATAAAATACCCCAAGTCGTTGCCAACACAACAGTCAACACAACAGGTGTGTCACTAAAACGATGATATCATCAAAAATATTTTAAAGTAAATAATAAGAAAGCATATTTTCATAATAGCATATTTAGAAAAAACATATTGGTTTCAGAATACCTAGTTTTTCAAAACTGCATAATCTTGTAGTTGTTTTAATTCCAATAACATAAGATAAATGTTATTTGTTATAACCTTATTAAGCTAAGTAAATCAAATATGTAAAATACTGTACCTATTCGATGTACATGTTAAACACGACAACGACATATCGCATGCTTTATACTGGATATTAGAAGCTAATGAATAACCAAAGAGCCGTTTATTTACATAAACCAATTAATAAAATCAATTACAACAATGCATCTTGGCCGATACATAGCGTAGCTGACCACGGGGGTAGATTTCCGGGGGTAGATGTCCGGGGGTAGACATCCGGGGGTAGATGTCTGGGGGTAGATATCCGGGGGTAGATGTCCGGGGGTAGATTTCCAGTCGCGGGCTGTTTCTGGATCGTGTATAAGCCCCGCCCCTCGTGACGTCAAAATGACGTAGGCGTTTTTTCATGGGGGTAAATATCCGGGGGTAGAAATCCGCTACCCCAAGTTGTCAATGTTTAGAGGTTTTGCAACTGTACAATTGTAATGCTACAAAGTAAGTTTGTAACATAGTGAAAAGCTTTTTTTTTGTAGGAATCCTGTTCATCAGATGAAGAGAGCTTCATACCTCTTGAAGAAGTGCAGAAGTTCATGGCCAAACGGCCGCATGTGACAGAGAAGAGGCAAGAGTTGCGACACATGTTACGGCAGAGATTCGCTCTCATGTGTCAGATGGGTCAGCTGAAGCACCAAGATTGAACACATCTGGACTGTCGGCTCCCTCACTAGTCAACAGACCGCAGTCACAGTCGTCGAGACCATATTGTAGCTAAGCTAGCAAAAGTTATTGTAATTGTTCATATTGAAAAGGTAATTATTTTGTAAGTCTATTTTATTATACTTGTTAAAGCCGTTTTTGGGCTCTTATACATGCTGTTGAGGGTTCTCGAATTTGTTAATTATATTTATACTCGGTACTTTTATTAAAGTTTTCATTATATTGTACAGTCCATTTATCCATTTTGTTTGTGTATTTTTTTACCATGCGAGGAGCTGTTGTCACTAGAGTGTAACCGTGTCGTGTGATTGGGAGATTTATATATTTTATAATGTTGTTATTATACGGCCAAACGGTGCTAAGTTTACAACAGACTCTTGTGATCCTAAACAAGGCATTGTTACCGTTGCGTGTTTCATGTTAGTGTAGCGTAACCCAAGGATACAGTTACATTCCTTTCATGTTCTTTGTGAGACTTTGGAGTCGATACCTTACAAAGCCCTGTTGTTTCATTGTTCAAATATAAAGGTTTATTCACCCACTAACGTTTTATTATCCCAGATCCAATTCTTTTTCTAAACAGCTTAACTCATAGTAGTGTAGTGAAATAGTATATTACGTTACTATTCCTGAAAATAAGTGTTTACCATACGAGTTCGGTACACACATTTTGGACGAGTTACGTACGATAGTTTACGCCATAATATTAAATCTGTACAAATCCTTGTATATTTCCACCAACTCGAGGACTAAAAATCACTAGTTATAACCTCTAAGAGAGGTTATGTTTTTGTTTATAACCACTCATTGCCACCTAAATACAGTATAATCATCTGATTAGTGTCCGTTAAAACTCATTACAGTACAGTAGTACGCAATGAAACCCCATTTGAATAAGCTGGCGGCAAACAGCTGTTTTCTGGACTAAATCCTTGCATGGGAAGTTCGTCAAAATAATGTAGTGTAGCATAAAAGTATTTTACATTCATTAGCTTTAGAGCAAAATAAATTTAATTTCTTATCTTATACAGTAGAATTCTGTCAACGTTAATCTAGGAATACGCCAATTTCAATAGAAAAAAAAATTGATTGGATTAAAATATACATACACTGAAAGAAATTAATTTTGATTATTGTAGTTGATAAATGCACCAAATGATGAAATGTTGTACTAAATTAGAGCAATAAATCATTGTGGACCTTTGCACAGTTCCAACTGGCCTAGCAAATTTGTTTTTGAAACTCAAGGATGTAAGATGACTCGTTCATTGCTTTGCTTAGTACTCGGAAATAGTGATATGTCTATGCTATACCAACAGAATTGTGTAACTCGAGCGTTGTATTACTTATGGGTTTTATTATACCTTGTACTCATTATCTACCAACATGGTCCTATAGTTAATAGACAATAGACAATTCCTTTATTACAATTTTATCAAGAAATGTTACAGCGTCAAATTTAAATAAATAACATTGGTATAATAGATACAAAGTGAAATGGAAAAGCTTCTTCAGTGTTGTGTGTGGTCTTGCCATGCAAAGAACTCCTTTAGGGTGTAGAAAGCTTTGTCAAGCAGCCATCTCTGTAGCTTCCTCTTCATCAGCACAGGGCCTCCAATTTTCAATTCAAATGGTCTGGTAGCTTGTTTAGCATCTTCACTCCTGTATACAGTGGTTTCTTTTCAAACATTGCTTTTCTGTGGCCAGGCAGCACATAGTTTCCTGCATATCTGGTGTTGTATTCATGAATATCTCTCTGTTTAGGCGGGTATTTGGTTACACAGTAATAAACAGTTTCTAGGATGTAGATGGAAGTCACCGTCAGGATGTTCTGAAGGCATCTCTACAGCTTTGTTCTTTACTTATGCCTGCTATTATTCTGATAGCCCTTCTCTGCATAACCAGGACCCGGTTAAGATTGTCCATAGTGGATCCACACCAGATAGTAATACACATGGCGTACATGGCTTTCAAACAATGTACGGTGTATGCAGTCCTCGTTGCCTCAGGGGCACTAGTCTCTTTGATTCGTTTTATAGCAAAGCAAGCTGGCCCGAGTTTTTGGCAAAGACAAGCTACATGACGATCCCAGGATAAATTTTCATCAATTATGACACCTAGATGTTTGATTTCTTCAGCTGCTGTCAGGTTGGGTATTTCAGATACTGTAGACTTTTTATTTCTAAAAGTAATTTGCTTGGTCTTACTTTAATTGAGGACTAAGTCATTTTTCATACAGTAGTCCTGTGTCATATTGAAAGCTATATAGGTGTTTACTTCTAGTTGATCTATGTTTCTTTGTATTATTTCATTTCATTTCTGTTTGCTGTAAGCAGCACAGTGTCGTCTGCATACATAACCATCTTGCTGTATTCCTCAAGGTGTTCCGAGAAGTCATTAATAAACAGGCCAAACAGAACTGGCCCTAGGACAGAGCCATGGGGAACTCCCCTGTTAGTCGGTAGCAATTCTGATCTGACAGTATCTGTAAACCCTTTTGTTGTGTGTTTTATTTCTAACATTTGGCTTCGTCCTTTTAGATAACTTGCAAACCATTTCAGAGCTGTTCGCTGGATTCCTAAATTTTGAAGTTCAGTTAGAATAAGATCATGTCCCAAGGAATCAAAAGCCTTGCTTAAGTCAAGATACAGGCTGGTGATAGTGTTGCCATTTTCTATGTTCTCAATGATATATTCAACAAGGTCTATCAGAGCAGTTGTGGTTGATTTCCAGGAACAAACCCATGTTGGCTGTTTGTCAATGCTTGGTTTTAACTAAGATGCTCCTGGATTCTTACTTTTATAATCTTCTCTATGAGTTTGGAGACAGATGAGAGCAGCGAGATATGTCGGTAGTTAGAGATGTTTTGTAGGTCCCCTTGTTTGTGTTTAGGAAATACCTTGGTTGTTTTCAACTTGGTTGGAAAAGTCCCCTCTGCCACTGAAATGTTTACAATCTTCATTAGCGGCATTATTAATTTATCTGGTTTTAAGGATTTTTGAAGATCATCAATGCCTGATGATGTGGAGTTCTTTAATGATTGAATGGTTCTGCCTATCTCATCAGGTGTTGTTGGACGGAAGGAAGAGAGTGTTAAATGTGGTAGCTGGAGGATTTTGAGCTATTGGTGGTGTGTTGTATCTGCTGTTTTGTTTTAATGTTTCCTCAGCTATGTTTAAAAAATAATAATTAAAGCGGTTTGCTACATCTTTAGGGTCAATAAGTTTCATTCCATTGTCATTTAATTCTATTGTAGAAATGTTGTCAAGCTATTTCCTCTCACTATCGATGGTGTCCCATATGGCTTTAGATTTGTTTTCTGCTTGTTCAATGTATGCAGCACTTGTTTCTTGCCTTGCCTTTTTTAATTTTTGGTCGTAAGATTTCTTCTTATCTGTAGCTATCTTCTTGTCATCAGGATGACCAGTTAGGAGAAATTTGTCTTGTGCTGATAAAAACTCCTTTTTAAGTATCATAGTTTCTTCATCATACATCAGTCGTTTGCCCCTTTTTTGTGAAGTCCAAAATCTTTTTTCTTTTGGACATGCATTATCAATTGCAAGCTGGAGCGTTTGGTTGAAGTTAAAGTAGGCCTCTTCCACATCATTTGTTCTCAAAACAGGTTCCAAGGTTACAGTGGAAAGCTCATTTTTTAAGATCAGCAGATTGTTGTGGTTAAGGTTCCGTCGTGATGTATATGTTGTTGCTGCTTTTGTTTTTGGAAGGTCCAGTGTGCAGTATTGTCCTGTGTGGTCTGATAGACCTGTGTGAGAGAGACCACAACTTTAATCATGGTGTGAATATTTGAACACGCCATATCATTTGAGGATGCTGAGGTCTTTGAGATTCTTGTGGCTAGGAGCTATGGGAGCTTGTTATGGTGTTGCCTATTAATGGAAGGACAAAAACTTATTAAATGTTTATCTTTGACTGATCCCTGCCAAACTGTTAAATTACAGGCCCTATTTTAAGGTTAGGTTTGATTAGAAAAGGTTTTTTGCTTGAGAAATAAGGAGACAAAGGATAGGATAAGCAGGCTTACCTTAAAAGTTGTAGGCATACCACTTCACTAAAGTAACTAACACGAAGGAAACACTGAATATTTCGAGGCCACTGGCTCCTTTCTCATGAATGAGAGTCACATTCATAAAAAGCCCAATTTTAAGTTTTATTTTTAAAGTAATAAAGTTCAGGTACCTTATTAAGTCCAGGCAATTCCTTATCCTAGGACACTTGACTATATGAATACATTTTGGGTTGGATTAAACCCTAATCATTAGGTCCACATAAGCAATAGATTAAGTGATTAGCAATGATTAGAGTAAGTGAACTGCTTCACAACCTAAATGTTAAAAGTTTTTCTAAATGCTCAATTTCATGTTCAAACGTTTGTTATGTATGTGTGGTTACCCATAAGTGACAAATTTGCGAAGAGGATGTTTCATGTTTCCTTAGACCTGAAAGTACAGCTACTTAAGGATTGATCTAGCCTGAAATGTATACGTAGTCAAGTGTACTAGAAAAAGGAATTGCCTTCACTGAGTAAGATAAGTAACCTTGATTACTTATAATTCAGCATTTCCGGAGGCTACAACAATGAATAAATTGTTTTTTATACAGATGTTAGTGTCCTATTCTGTCCCTTATGTAAGTCATGTTTGGCACGCTACAGGGAGACGTTTATACTAAAAGTTAAAAATAAAGTAATTGTGTTGGTAGATGGGATGAGCATTGACAGTCAATGTTTTTTACATCGATGGTAGGTTACTGATGTTTTTGGCCAAGTATAGAGATGATGTTTTCCATCAGCGGAGAGTACAAAAAGAAGACGAAAAACATTGAAAAACATCAATGTTTTCGCAACATTATTATTACAGTAGAGTCCCGTTAGTCCGAAATGGTTGGGACTGGGCCCATTTCGGATCACCAAATATTTTAGATTAAAAGTTTTCTGTTTTTTTTTTTATTTTGAAAAAAGAAATTAATTTTTTTATTTTTTGAATTTTTTTTTGTCTTAGGACGCAGGCACAAGCCCGTGATTGTTTTTCACATTACTTAAGGCTAGACCTAGAGGCTGCAGCATTATCACTTAGTAAAATCCATTTGTGATTTGGCGGGATTGGAACCCGGGACGAAAATGAAAAATGTTAATAACAAAAATGGTGAAATATTTACTAAAATACTCTAAAAAAAGTCTATCTCGCCCGGCCGCTACAGAATACTTTGACAAGGTACAGCTAACTGTGTTAAAAGTTTAATAAAAAAATTCCAAAAAATTTTCAAAAAAATTTTAATTAAAAAAAAATATAGGCTATATATAAAAAATATATTTTTTTGTTTTGGATTAAGCGGACTTTCGGATTACCGAAGTTCGGATTATCGGGACTCCACTGTATGTTATTGCTAAGTCGATGGTGAACATTGATGGTTGACCTATCGATGCTCATCCCTAGTTGGTAGTACTATCACCAGTGGCGTAGTCAAAAATCTTCTCGTTTGGGAACGTTCACTGCCATATTGGAAAAAGCACAGGTCACCTAC